CTGGCAGTCCACACTTCTAACAGCTGTCATCAGGGCTTTGCTCTTTGTCCAAGTTAACCTGCGGTGTGCCTGAAAATGCTTTCCTAATGGCATATGTTTGCCTTGTTAATCCAATAACTGTACTCCTAAATATGAACAAAGGCATGAAAAACAGTTCAGAAATGCAAACTCATGCAGAACACCACCTTCTCATTCCACGCACAGGTAACTGAGACAGCTTGTTATTGGGGTACGTGTAACGTTCAGACAGCACCCAGTTTCCCAAGGTGGTAGAGAATTAACATGCATTATTAAAATCAACAATCCAGGGAGAAATTTGCTATTAGCTAATGGTAACACTGCGAGACCAGCACATAGTGAAACTGACTGATTTAGTTTCCATTAGTTTTTTTACTGAGCGTCCAGTCACCCAAAGAGGAAATCATTAATTACTGGTAAAGTAGTAGTAGACATTTAACAAGGAAGAAGAAAGGAAAGAAGGAAGGAAGGAAGAAGGATGGAAGGAACTAAGGGTTCAGTGACACGAGACACAGGCGCACCTCATTTTATTGCCCTTCACCTCCTGAGCTTCACAGACACTGCGGCCTTTACTAGAGGTTTGTGGCGATCCTCGATCAAGCAAGTCTGCTGGCACCGTTTTTCCAACAGCATTACCTCACTTTGGGTCTCTGTGTCACAGTTGGGTAATTCTCGCAATATTTCAAACTCTTTAGCATAATTACATTTGTGACGGTGACCTGTGATGGGGGATCTTCGGTGTTACTACAGCACTTGTTTTGTGGTTCCGCAAACCATGCCCATATCAGAACGCGAACAAAATCAATCAACATTGTGTATTCTCACTTTTCCTCTGACCAGCCATTCCCCCATTTCACTCCCTCCCCTCAGGCCTCCCTGTTTCCTGAGACACAACAATACTGAAATTCTGCCAGGTTATTCCCAGTTAATACCAGTTATTAATTAGAGGCCATTGAACACGATGGCCTCTAAGTGTTTGAGCGAAAGCAAGAGCTTCACGTCGCTCATTTTCAATCAAAAGCTGGAAATGATCACCTTCAGCGAGGCACAATGAAGGGCATGATGGGCTGCAAGCTAAGCCTCTTGTGCCAAACAGCCAAGTTGTGGATGCAAAGGAAATTTCTTGAAGGAAATTAGAAGTGCTTCTCCACTGAACACACAAATAATAAGAAAGCAAAACAGTCTTACTGCTGATGTGGGTAAAGTTCTGGGAACCAGGACAGAAGATCAAACCAGCCACAACATGCCTTAAGCCAAAGCCTAATCCACAGCAAGGCCCCAACTCTCTTCAGTTCTATGAGGCTGAGAGAGGGGACGAGGCTGCAGAAGGAAAGCTGGAAGCTGGCAGAGGTTGGTGCATGAGGTTTGAGGGAAGAAGGTGTCTCCGTAACAGAAAAGTACAGGGAGGCAGCAGGTGCTGACGGAGAAGCCGCAGCGAGTTACCCAGAAGATCCGCTGAGATCATTATTGATAGTGGCTGCACCAAACAACAGAGTTTCAGCATAGATGAAACGGTTTTATACGGGAGAAAGATGCCACCTAGGAGTTTCATAACCAGAGAGGAAAAGCCAGTGCCCGGCTTCAAAGCCTCAAAGAGCAGGCTGAGTCTCCCGTCAGGGGCTAATGCAGCTGGTGACTTTAAGATGAAGCCAATGCGCATTGACCATTCTGAAAATCCCATAAGAGTTATACTCACTCTACTGCCTGTGCTCTATAAATGGAACAACAAAGCCTGGATAACAGCACATCTGTTTACAACATGGGTTACTGAATCTTGTAAGCCCATGGTCGAGAACTACTGCTCAGAAAAGAGGATTCCTTTCAAAAGATGAGTGCTCGTGTCAATGCAGTGTTTACCCTGAAGCTCTGTCGGAGATGTGCCCCTACATCACGTGCTTTTCATGCCTGCTTCACAACATCCATTCTGCAGCCCAGCGAGTCATTTTGACTTTCAAGTCTTGTTATGTAGAGCCATAGACAGGGACTCCTCTGACGGATCTGGGCAAATGGGGAACGGCAGGACTCAGCTCCTAGTAAGCACTTAAGAAAAATCCCATTCTATCCAATTAGACACATAAAACATGGAATGAGGCAGGGATTCGAGGGAAAGCTGCACCCCTGAACTTTATTCTGGGCTCAGTTAAGCAGATCAGCTCCAGATCCTACCCATGCAAGATGCTGGGAGCCCTAATCCGGTCAGATTTATTTCCCACCCTTGGAGTCTCTGCAGGCCTACAGCCAGGCTTTGACACGCAGCTGTTCAAGGACAGAGAGAGAGTTCCTTCAACAAACTGGGCATCCATTGTATGTGCAACACACTGTTCTAAGTGCTGAAGATACAGTAACAGGCAGAACAGATGTGATCCCCTGGCCTCAGGGAGCTCACTGGCTTCCCTGAACAACAGGGAGAGAAAAATGACAACTGGCCAAGACCACAGCTTGCCAAGACTTCGGCATCCCCCGATGTGGTAAGAAATATGAGCCCCACACAGGGAGGAAAGTTGTGCAAGACATGACCTGTCTTCAACAACCTGGCAGTCTACAGGGAAAGTTTCAGGGAGGAGACTGTCCCGGGAGGTGGCCGAAGAGACGTGACTGCTACAGTCAGATGGTGACAGCTTCAGGAAGCCCGCAGCCCAGCCTCAGAGAGCGTTCCTGCTCTTTCCCGTGGGACTGGGACTACAGCTGGAGCCGCCCCCACTCTAGCACAGGAGGTCCTCTGGAGCACCCTACACACACACCTGTCCCAACCTTTGGGTCTTACCCGTTAGGTTTTCAGAGTCTGATAATCCCCTGGCAAACACGGGCATTATCTGATTCAATGATAATCAGTGTACTTCCAAAACAAGAGAGCTGGTGATATACGCCATTAATAAGAAAACTGTCATACTGGTGTCTACACTTCTAACAGCTGATACGGGGAAAGTTCTGGCAGTCCACACTTCTAACAGCTGTCATCAGGGCTTTGCTCTTTGTCCAAGTTAACCTGCGGTGTGCCTGAAAATGCTTTCCTAATGGCATATGTTTGCCTTGTTAATCCAATAACTGTACTCCTAAATATGAACAAAGGCATGAAAAACAGTTCAGAAATGCAAACTCATGCAGAACACCACCTTCTCATTCCACGCACAGGTAACTGAGACAGCTTGTTATTGGGGTACGTGTAACGTTCAGACAGCACCCAGTTTCCCAAGGTGGTAGAGAATTAACATGCATTATTAAAATCAACAATCCAGGGAGAAATTTGCTATTAGCTAATGGTAACACTGCGAGACCAGCACATAGTGAAACTGACTGATTTAGTTTCCATTAGTTTTTTTACTGAGCGTCCAGTCACCCAAAGAGGAAATCATTAATTACTGGTAAAGTAGTAGTAGACATTTAACAAGGAAGAAGAAAGGAAAGAAGGAAGGAAGGAAGAAGGATGGAAGGAACTAAGGGTTCAGTGACACGAGACACAGGCGCACCTCATTTTATTGCCCTTCACCTCCTGAGCTTCACAGACACTGCGGCCTTTACTAGAGGTTTGTGGCGATCCTCGATCAAGCAAGTCTGCTGGCACCGTTTTTCCAACAGCATTACCTCACTTTGGGTCTCTGTGTCACAGTTGGGTAATTCTCGCAATATTTCAAACTCTTTAGCATAATTACATTTGTGACGGTGACCTGTGATGGGGGATCTTCGGTGTTACTACAGCACTTGTTTTGTGGTTCCGCAAACCATGCCCATATCAGAACGCGAACAAAATCAATCAACATTGTGTATTCTCACTTTTCCTCTGACCAGCCATTCCCCCATTTCACTCCCTCCCCTCAGGCCTCCCTGTTTCCTGAGACACAACAATACTGAAATTCTGCCAGGTTATTCCCAGTTAATACCAGTTATTAATTAGAGGCCATTGAACACGATGGCCTCTAAGTGTTCGAGCGAAAGCAAGAGCTTCACGTCGCTCATTTTCAATCAAAAGCTGGAAATGATCACCTTCAGCGAGGCACAATGAAGGGCATGATGGGCTGCAAGCTAAGCCTCTTGTGCCAAACAGCCAAGTTGTGGATGCAAAGGAAATTTCTTGAAGGAAATTAGAAGTGCTTCTCCACTGAACACACAAATAATAAGAAAGCAAAACAGTCTTACTGCTGATGTGGGTAAAGTTCTGGGAACCAGGACAGAAGATCAAACCAGCCACAACATGCCTTAAGCCAAAGCCTAATCCACAGCAAGGCCCCAACTCTCTTCAGTTCTATGAGGCTGAGAGAGGGGACGAGGCTGCAGAAGGAAAGCTGGAAGCTGGCAGAGGTTGGTGCATGAGGTTTGAGGGAAGAAGGTGTCTCCGTAACAGAAAAGTACAGGGAGGCAGCAGGTGCTGACGGAGAAGCCGCAGCGAGTTACCCAGAAGATCCGCTGAGATCATTATTGATAGTGGCTGCACCAAACAACAGAGTTTCAGCATAGATGAAACGGTTTTATACGGGAGAAAGATGCCACCTAGGAGTTTCATAACCAGAGAGGAAAAGCCAGTGCCCGGCTTCAAAGCCTCAAAGAGCAGGCTGAGTCTCCCGTCAGGGGCTAATGCAGCTGGTGACTTTAAGATGAAGCCAATGCGCATTGACCATTCTGAAAATCCCATAAGAGTTATACTCACTCTACTGCCTGTGCTCTATAAATGGAACAACAAAGCCTGGATAACAGCACATCTGTTTACAACATGGGTTACTGAATCTTGTAAGCCCATGGTCGAGAACTACTGCTCAGAAAAGAGGATTCCTTTCAAAAGATGAGTGCTCGTGTCAATGCAGTGTTTACCCTGAAGCTCTGTCGGAGATGTGCCCCTACATCACGTGCTTTTCATGCCTGCTTCACAACATCCATTCTGCAGCCCAGCGAGTCATTTTGACTTTCAAGTCTTGTTATGTAGAGCCATAGACAGGGACTCCTCTGACGGATCTGGGCAAAGCAAACCAAAAAGTTCTGAAAGGACTCACCATTTAGATGCCATTAAGAACATTTGTGATTCACAGGAAGACGTCAGAATAGCATCGTGAATAAGAGTTTGGGAGACGTCGACTCCCACCCTCGTGGATGACTTTGAGGAGGTGGGGACTTCAGTGGAGGAAGTCACTGCAGGTGCGGTGCGATCAGCAACAGAACTAGAATTAGAAGCGGAGCCTGGAGATGGGACTGAATTGCTGCATCTCATCATCAAACTTGAACAGGTAAAAGGTTGCTTCTTACGGATGAGCAAAGCAAGTGGTTTCTCAAGATGGAATCTGCTCCTGGTGGCGATGCCGTGACGGCTGCTGAAGCGACAACAAAGGGTTTACAACGTCACAGAAGCTTAGCTGACAAAGCAGAGGGAGGGTTTGAGAGGACTGACTCCAAGTTTGAAAGGAGTTTCACTGTGGGAAAAGTGCCATTCAAGAGCATCACATGCCACAGAGAACTCTTTCATGAGTCAATCAAAGCAGCAAACTTCATGGTTTAATTTTAAGAAATCACCACAGCCTCCCGGCCTTCAGCAGCCTCCACCCTGATCAGTCGGCTGCCATCAACATTGAGGCAAGACCCTCGTCCAGCAAAAAGATGATGACTTCTTGAAAGCTCAGAGGATGGTGAGCATTTTTTAGCTAAACAGTATTTTTAAATTAAGATATATCCATTGTTTTTTAGACATAATGCTATTGTGCACTTAATAGACTACAGTGTAGTGTAAACACAACTTTTATATTCATTGGGAAACCAGAAAAACTCACTGGACCCTCTGTACTGAGATATTTACTTTACTGTGGTGGTCTGGAACCAAAATCTCAATATTTCTGAGGTATGCCTGAACAGATAGCCAGTCTCTGAATTTACATTAATTAATATATAATTCAGATGCAATTGATTTTGATCAAGGATTCAACACAAAAGATAATTAATGTCAAATTCATGTAATAAAATCCATTTGCCTTTCCAAGGATCAGCAGTATATGTTAAAAGGCAAAATCTGAAGCATTAGCAATATTCCAGGAAAAATAATCATTGAAAATACAGTATGAAATAGAAATTAAAATCCCTGTTGAAATACCATTTCTCACCTATTTGTCAGCAAATTTCCAAAATTGACAATATATGCTGTTAGTGTGGTTTTGAGCAAACTAAGTTCTCTCATATATTTCGTTTAGGAATGCAAAATAGTTCAGGCTTTCTGAGGGGAATCTGTCAATAGGTAACAAAGTTACAAATGCATTAATAATGGTCCAATATTCCCATTTCTAGTAGTCTGTCCCAGAGATACAAGTGTAAATAAACAAAAAATATTTGTTTATATTTTCAAAATGAACCAATGGAAAATTAACAACATATTGATGAAAATAGTTACCCATGAAGGAATTGGTTGGAAGAGACAAGTGGTGGACATGAGACTTGTCTGAATGTGATTATTTAGTTTTAACTAGATAGTAATACTGTTCATATAATAATAAAATAAATTTAATTACAATCAATGTCTAGAAATTAAAAATGAAAACAAATGACTCCCTATATTACATGGTATCTTGACTGAACATCCTCAGTAGGATATATTCTATGGACGAAAAGGAAAGGAAAAAATTAAAATCTTGAACTTCATTCTGTGTTCTTATTGCTAGCAACGATATCAATGTTGATATTTTGGTACAGATATATATATTTTATTGGCTAAAACAAGCAATTATGCTAATGATATTAGAAGCCAAGGCTTTCAACATGAGAAAAGAGATACGAGTAAATTAAATCAAAGGTTTCTGCAACATGTTACTACATTGATAGATAGTAACCACACTAGAAGAGGTGAGGATTTAATAATATGGGTACCTGTTGAACCACTGTGTTGTATATATGAAATCAACATAAGATTGTATATCAATGATACTTTAATTTAAAAAATTAAAGGTTATAAGTAAAAAACCCAGAGATCTAAAACTGAAATTGGAAATGTCAATGTAGACACATGATTTCTCCCTGGAGCAATCCAGTGAAAAGCCTTAGGAACAATGACAGCCCAGTAGCAATGAACAGTCTTAAAATCTAGATTGTAGTCTTTATATAGCATTCTTTGTCTACAACTAAAGCTAATAAATGAGATAAGTAAAGTCATAGGATACAAGGTTATTATACAAAATCAATTTTATTTATATATTACCAGTAAACACCTGGCAACTGAAATTAAAAATACCATTTACAGGAATAATCAAAACATGAAATACTTAGGAAAAAAATTAATAAAATGTATATGAGACCTGAAACTTTACCTGAGACTCTACAACACATGGCTAAAATTAAAGAAGACCTAAATAAATGGGAAGGCATACCATGCTCACAGATGGGAATAATCAATCTTGTTAAAATGTCAATGCTCCCCAAGTTGAACTACAGATTCCATGCAATTCCTATCAAAATTCCAGGAGTCCCTTTTGTAGAGATTGACAAGCTATAACTAATATGGAAATTCAAAGAATCTATCAATTTTCAAAAGGTAAAACAAAGTTTAAAGACTTAGACTACTTGATTTTAAAACTTACCAAAAAGCTAGAGTAGACAAGACAATTTAATATTAAATAAGGGCAGACTTGTAGATCGCTGCAAGATCACTGGAGTCTGGAGAGAGACCCATGCCTGGGGGATCAATTGATTTTCAAAAATGATGCTAATGTAATTCAATGAGGGGAGAAAAGTCTTTTCAGCAAAGTGTGAGAACAATAGCATAGCAGTACAGGAACACACGTGACCACAAACAAGAACCACAATCCTTACCTCACATCACACACATAGAAATTAACTCAAAATGGATCATAGAACTGAAGATAATAGCTAAAACCATGACATTTCTACCAAACTTAGGAAAAAAATCTTTACAACCTTGGGGTAGTAAAAGATATCTTAGAACAGGCCATAAAAAAGCAGAAGCCATAAAAGAAATAATTGATCATTTGGACTGCACCAAAACATAAAACTTTTGCTCTTTGAAGGACTAAGGAAAAAAAACTAAGAAAATTAAATGGCAAGCCACCACTGGGAGAAATATTCACAATACATATATCCTCAAAAGACTTGCGTTCAGAATATATATATATATTCTTGAACCTGAATCTAAACAAGTCTGCAGGCTACAGGAAACATGAAGGATACAGGAAAAAGTTAAGTAACACTAGAAGGAATATTCATCAAAACCAGAATTTAAGACATTCTACAGGACAATTGACCCAACTATGTAATCAAGTCAATAGCATTCAGAAAATGGTAGGTTATGATCGATTAAAAGAGTCTGTGGGAAAATGGATATAATATAAACTTACTGAGGAATGTTAAGAATGTGACTGACCTTATTTACTGTCAAACGGATGCAGCTTCAGGAGCGAACACAGGAGGCACTGATTAAGTGTAAAAACTGCACATTAGTGCAAGCTTAACATAACACAATGTAACCTGAGTAACTACTGACTGTTCACCAAACGTAGGGTGATGTGTAACCACTGCGTCTTTAATTCCAGATAAACAAAGCTGAAAACCCACCAGGGGTCTGCACACCTGAATGCATGATTTTTTTTTTTGATTAATAAGCTTACCTAATTCTGTATCTATGAATTAGTGTCTTCCTTTGGGTCTTAATTTTTTGTTTCTCCAAGTTTCAAAACATTTTTAAGAAACAAAAAACACATGCAGTATGTGGACATACTGATCAACCTACAGTGGAAATTTTTACCATTTTACTTCTTTGCTGAAAACCCTTTAGTCCCTCACTTACCATTTACTAATTAGAATTCATTCACCTCCATGGGTCTGCAAAGCCTTCAGTGAATGGGGCTCCTTAGGGCCCCAGTTCCATCTCCTTTTTCTCCCTACAAAAACCGTATGTTCATGTAATAAACCTGCCACTGTCAGCTTGAGCTCCACACTACGGCTCGGGCTGGTCTCACCCTGGCTTGCCTGCCTTCCTCATTTTCTTTGTTCGGCCAGCTGTTACTCTCCTAAACCCAGCTCACTGGTTGCACTGCATCTCAGGCCTCATCTGCCTTAGAAAAACCTCTTGGATCTCCCAGGCCGAGGGCGGTACCCTCCCCAATGTCCCTGCGGTACCATGTACAAACCTTTACCTTACTTAGCACTTACCTTATTTGCTGGAATTCCTATTCGTGTCTTCATCCAACCCAATGGATTTTTCCAAGGCAGCACAGCACAGAGGTTGGTCTATAACGGGTGTTCCACAAATGTTTGCTGAGATGAACTGAAGTTATAACAAATTCCACTGGAAGATATAAACATTAATCAGTGGTTAATTAATGCATTTGACATAGGCACTGTGAAATTGTTCAATGATTTGCCCCTGAAATAAAAATAACCGGAGAGTCAAGTGGTTTGAGCAAGTATTCCAGGCTATTTAATTGCTCCCCCAGCTAAGAATTATCATTCCGATATATTCCCTTCTAAAGTGACTGATATGTATAGAAACCTTCTATGATTTCAAGAATGATTTTTATCTTAAAAATGCACACATGCCCTATTAAAGATTGTTCTGCTAGTAATAATAAAATTTGAAGTACTTAAAGAGTCTGATAAATTCTCACATTGATAAAGTGGTGAGCATGGTGAATTAATGCTCTCTGCTAGGCGGCTGCTAGCAGAGAACAGTAAGATGCTATAGAGGCATTACTTGTCTTCCCCGTGCTATACTGCCTTCCCTGTGAATCCCCTACATTATGTGTGCTAATTATAGGGCCCTTTAATCCCCTTCAGGCTCCCTCCCCACCCACCCTTCCCCACCCCTCCCCTTTGGTAACTGCTAGTCCCTTCTTGGAGTCTGTGAGTCTGCTGCTGTTTTGTTCCTTCCGTTTTGCTTTGCTGTTATACTCCACAGATGAGTGAAATCATTTGGTACTTGTCTTTCTCCGCCTGGCTTATTTCACATAGGCAGCTGCTAGCAGGAAACATTAAACTGAAGATTTTTCCCTTTGCTGCCATCTTTTGGATGAACGACAGTCATAAATCTTGAGAAGAAAGTAAGAGAAGAAACTTTATCGTCATTAAGACGTTTAATGCCAGGCACTGGCTTAGGGACTTTCACATCTATTATTTCATTTTACAATGACAGCGGTCTTCCATAGATATTATCATCTTCCTTTTGATAAGGGAGAAAGAAAGGTAGGTGTAGCCAACACTGGGTGTCATCCTTCCCAAACCAGATTTTGTTCATAGTGCAGACAAACCCTTGAGAGGAGTCTGAGCCCCTTCCTAGACCCTTCCTAGATA